GATTACGATATCTTATGATTGGTTTATATATTTACGTTGTCTAATAATTGTTTTATATGAATACGTTGTATAATGATTGGTTTATATGTTTACGTTGTCTAATGATGAGTTTACATGATTACGTTGTATAATGATTGGTTTATATGATTACGGTATATAATGATTGGTTTATATGATTACGTAATCTATAGATTGGTTTATATGACTACGTTGTCTAACGATTGGTTTATATGAATACGTTGTATAATGATTGGTTTATATGTTAACGTTGTCTAATGATTAGTTTATATGATTACGTTGTATTATGATTGGTTTATATGATTACGTTATATAATGATTGGTTTATATGATAACGTTGTCTTATGATTGGTTAATATGACTACGGTATTTATTGATTGGTTTATATGATTATAGTGTCTAAAAATTGATTGATATGATTACAGTATCTAATTATTGGTTGATATGATTACGGTGTCTTTTGATTGGTTTATATAATTACGGTGTATAATGATTAGTTTATATGATTACGGTATCTAATGATTGGTTTACATGCTTACGGTGTCTCTTGATTGGTTTATATAATTACAGTGGCTTATGATTGGTTTATATGAATACCATGTCTAATGATTGGTTTATATGATTAAGTTGTCTAATAATTGGTTTATATGATAACGGTATTTAATGATTGATTTATAATATTACGATGTCTAATTATTGAATTATATAATATCGATGTCTAATGATTAATTTACATGAATACGGTATCTAATGATTGGTTTATATGATTACGTTGTCTACTGATTGGCTTATATGATTACGGTATCTAATGATTGGTTTATATGATTACGTTGTCCAATGATTGTTTTATATGAGTACGTTGTCTTATGATTGGATTATGTGATAACAATGTTTATTGATTTAAGTATGTGGTTACGATGTTTAATGATTGATTTATATGATTACGATGTCTAATGATTGGTTTATATGTTTACGTTGTCTAATGATTGGTTTATATGAATACGTTGTATAATGATTGGTTTATATGATTACGTTGTCTAATGATTGGTTTATATGAATACGTTGTATAATGATTGGTTTATATGATTACGTTGTCTAATGATTGGTTAATATGATAACAGTATCTATTAATTGGTTTATATGATTATAGTGTCTAAAGATTGGTTGATATGATTACGGTGTATAATGATTGATAGCTATGATTACGTTGTCTGATGATTAATTTATATGATTACGGTAACTAATGTTGGTTTATATTATTACGGTGTCTAAAGATTGGTTTATATTATTACGATGTCTAATGCTTGGTTTGTATGATTACGGTGTCTAATGATTGGTTTTATAAGATTACGGTGTCTAAAGATTAGTTTATTATTGATATTATCTTATTCCGAATTCAGTTATACGAGCCGATTTCCATCAGTGTTCTTTATTTAGGTCTAGAAGTTTAAAGCTTTCCGAACCTATTTCTGTCGGTGTTCTATATGAAGGCCCAGAACGTATTAATATTTCCGAGCTTACCTCTACCAGTATTCTTTTTGAAGTCCAAATAAAACTTTCAAAATGTTCATTAGAACTGTATCTGGTTGAGTATCGTCGACGTTATCAAACAATTCATTTACAAGATTCTAAATAGAATAGACGTCATATGTATTCTCTAAGGTACAGTACATTGCAACAAATCATTCTAGTTTATTAATTCGCATTAAAATCATAATTGCCAAAAAAGTGAGAAAATATGGTAGAAGGTTAGAAAAATAATTTTTTAATGTTGATACCAATAAAATTAAAACGACATAACTAAAAACTAGCAAGTTTACATTTGTATTGGTAATTGTTTGTTGATTTCAAGATTTGTGTTTTGTTTACCTTTTGGTCGCAGGTGATCTTACTTATTGAAGTATATTCTAAATGACCTTCTCTCTCATTCAAGTAAAGTTGCAGCCAAAAAAGAGGAAAGACTGGTCAGGCGTTTAAAAAAAAAGCAATAAACAAATAGTAAAAATATTTTAAAAGCCCACCAATTCTAACAAAAATCATCAATATGCGATCACGAAACGAACTAAGCGTTACAACAAATGAAGAAAATCTGATAAAAATGATAATTTTCTGTCAACTAATTTTTTTCTGAACAAAAGCAAATTTCTTTAATTATATTTTTGTACATCTGTACATATATTAGTATATGATGTCTTTGAGGAACCAACTTCATGTTTAAAGCTATTAATTTGTCGAGATCACATTCGTGCATATAGATAAAAAAAACTGCATTTCTTAAAGCATTAATTGCTAATTGCTTCGAACCATTCAGCCTCTCTTTTTTGGAATTCATGCGGTTTCGTCAGTTTGTGTTCTTTAATTTGATTTTTCTCCTTACTCAATTTATAAGATTAGAACACTGGTAAACCATTTTGGCTATTTTAGACATTTTTCTCCTAGTTCATTTGTCTTAAATTTACTCACATACATAAAACATAAAGCTTAATCAATAATCCATTCTTTAAGTAGGCACGAATACTGAACTGATTTCTTTGATCCTCGGCTTATAACATCATACTGAAACATTTAATTGTTATAAAGTCAAAATTGATTTCGCCATATAATGTCTTTTATGAGCAAGTTCCATGTTTAAAGCTAATAATTTATCGATATCACATTCGTGCATATAGATAAAAGGAATAAATTTCGTAAAGCATTTATTGTTTTGCCTGAAAGAGAATTTAGAGTCAGTAGCTTTAACTGTATGACATCTCGATGAAATGAGATTTTTCAAAACGGAACTTTTCATATTTTACAAACAGAATATGATTTTTTAAAACGTAATATTTTTGTATTTCAGTAAAGTTGTGTACATATCTTTATAAGATACAGCATTTCCCTTAAAAACCCTATATAATATGAACAAAATAGGCTAACTACGTCTACGTAAAAAGTAATATAACAAAAAAACCGAACTCCAAGGACATTTAAAAACGGGAAGTCCATTATAAAAATTGTAAAATCATAAGCTCAAACACATCAAACGAATGGAAAACAACTTTCATATCCCTGACTTGGTACCGGCATTTTCTTATGTTGGAAAAAAAAAGAATTAAACCTATTTGTATATCTAGTTAAACCTCTCACTCGTATGACAGTCACATGTGATGCCATTTCATTGTGTGAGCAAAACAAAAAGACATACATGTAATAAGTAAAAATGTCAAAAAATGGGATATAGTAGTTAACATCGTGTTATAATCTTAATCACCATAAAAAACGACAAACTTTGTCAACAAAGAAAACAAAAATGGCATACAGAAACTCTATAATATGGTCTGTGGTGGAGTGTTGACTCGTAGGCAATAATACCACATCTTCTGATACTAATAATTTAGATATCTATTGATAAAAATATTTATAAAATTAAAACAATCCGTTATTAATTTTATGCGTCCAAAGGGTTTTTTATAATTCGACTTCACCCGGAACGCGGAAAGCAGAATACCTGAAACAGTTGACAAGCTATGTGAACGAAAGGGCCTAAAAATAGCCTAATCCTTCTAACGTCAAATTTGTCTGACAGAGTTGAAACATAATTTTCTTTAACATTTCAAAATTTATAAACAGATAATTTTATAAATCATGTCTGTACCAACATATTGACTATTTAGCTGATGATAACACGGGGACGGATAGTCCACCAGCAGAGGTACTGACCAAGTGTTGTAAAAACATTAAAACAACACGTTATAAATTTTAATTACAATACACTATACTTTTCTATGTAAATTCAAATGTATAATTCTACTCAGATTCAGTATTGTTTTATTATTAAAATGATCAGGCCTATCACATATGTCTGTGTAACAATATCTGAAAAAAAAGGATTCAATCCGATAATAAAACTATTATACTGCTTATTCCATATTTTTTAGACAACCCAGAGTTGACATTATTCGCGACCATTTGAGAAAGTTTTACTTACAATCGAATACTCAGTTTGCCACAAGGAGGTATTGCTTCAAAAAAAAATGTGTTTCTGAATCTGCAACTATTTAAAGAATGAGAAAAAAAAGTCAACAGAAGAAAAATTGACATCACCATCACATGAAGGCGAGACAACAGAAAATGCTTGCAAACAATAAAAAAATACCATTCACATAAAACTAATAAGATCTGAAAAGCTAACGGAACACAAATGCAAAACAAAACCAATGCAACACAAACACAAAAACAAGTATATAATATATAACGTATTATATACAAAAAATATTATTCTCACACAATTTTCAATGTATCACCTTCATTCAATCAATTTTATCAAAATCTAAATCTGAAGTCACGATCTAGTATTTATAGATTAAACGTTACAGAAGTTTGATTGTACAGTTGTGTTTCTTCTAACATTAAAAGCTTATCCGCTTAAAAAGGTCGACATTGAAATATAAAAATAACATTTACTTTATTTGATTTTTTTTTTACTTTATTTAAACAAAAAAAACAATTAAGGTATATTATAGCAGAGACAGTTTGCATATATTTATATTGATTGACTCTCTTGTTCATAAGAGACGTAAAGCGTCTTGTCGATCATTGATCTGGGCACTACATATGTTTTAACAGTATTGGCTTCAATTAATTGAATGTATAGCCTTTTATTCTACTTACAGAACCTGTGGATTTATTGTTGAATAATCTACAACATTTGTCGCATGTTGTTTCTCGTGTGATGTTTTATAGTAAACCAAGTTTTATATCTTTTGGTTTAAAAAAATATGTAAACAATGAAATCTTAAGTATATCTTTCGTTAGACATTGATGTGAAAATGCTTGTTTTTGGAAGATTTCATTTTCTACAGTCCCATTGAGACGAATGTAGGATTAAGCGATTGATATTAACCATTGACACGGACGAGGTCTACTATTTTATTGATAACAGTAAATAATTGAAATTGTGCTACAACTATTCGTTACGCTTGAATACTAATTCAAAACAGACGATGGATGACGAAGACAATTTTATCCGTGAGTTTCTTAGTGACTTTATAAAGGATATAAAGGTAAGAAGTTATTTAAAAATTACTTTCGTCATCCGATTGCTTATGTCTTGCATTAATCGAATATCTAAGACAGTCTTTTTGTCAAAAGAATCAAAAAAGTCTTATTGATAAAGTTTACAAAATATATTTAGTTTATGATGAGAGCGAGATAAAATTACCAAATTTGACATGAAATTATCAATATTATAAGAACACGGAAATGAACATTATTTTAATTACAATGTATATTCCTATGTGAGTTTGACACACTGGATTGTTCATTTGAGTTGTTTGGAATCTGGTTTAATTAATTGATTGCGTTTTATGCCCTATACGCACTAACAGCTATAACAAGGCTAAGAACATAATATCAATTCATAGAAAAATTCTTTCATTAAGAATGTTTTTGATAAATACAGAAATTTTGTTTGTTGAGTGTTCACAGCACTAGTTTCACCTCAAACCATAGGAAAGTGAATGTCAAAAACTAGAAATATTAAAACGGTTAGAATTCGTTTCGACGGTTTTTATATGTTCCGTTAAAAGTAAAGTAAAAGCTTTAAGAAAAATTTCAGTAAATCAAAATTTATTGAGACATTATTCTCAGCCGGAAAACTAGCCAGTATTGCTACCATGAAATATATAAGGATGTAGATGGAGCAGCAGTTAAATTATTCTGTTTAGGTTTAATGAAGCCATATAAACGAAAGGAAACAAGAAAGAGTACCCAACTTTTAAAAAGTAAAGTTTTGCTAGCTATAAAACCAGGTTTAATGCAACGTTTTCTTCTGCAAATGTCATACTATATAAATAACATATAGCTGAGAGGGTGATAGAGCAGATTGTTACCCCGAGAAAACATTGTTAACTGAGGCGAAGCCAAGGTTGACAATGTCTTTTCGAGGGGTAAAAATCTGCTCTATCACCCTCTCAGATATGTGTTATTTAATTGATTATACTGAATGTTCTGTTATTACTGTCGATTAAATTTTAAATTCAAAGTAATAAACTATGACGTCTTGTACATAACAACCATCCATATTTAATAAAGCGCACACTCGATCAAGCGTCTCCGTGAAGGGTAATAGAGTATTTGCCATAGGATAGAGTCGTATTTAATAAAGCGCACACTTGATCAAGCGTCTCCGTGAAGGGTGATAGAGTATTTGCCATAGGATAGAGTCGTATTTAATAAAGTGCACACTTGATCAAGCGTTTCCGTGTAGGGTAATGGAGTATTTGCCATAGGATATAGTCGTATTTAATAAAGCGCACACTTGATCAAGCGTCTCCATGAAGGTAAATAGAGTAAATTAACACCCTATATATGGCATTTTGACATGAAGTATAATAATGAGAAATAAGACTTAATTTCCATTTGTTCCGTTGGTTGATATAGTCGAGTGTTTGATTTTGTCAGGTTTTATGGACTTTCTCTGTTTTGAATTTATCTTCGAGATCAGTATTTTTCTTTTGTGTTTGTTCAATAGATCCAACGTAAATGTCTGTTTAAGGTGGGGTGTTTTTGTGTTGTTGTTGTCTTCATTAAGATAATTAAACAGAGCTACTAGTCAGAAGCCGGTCTTTGTTAATAAACATGTTTCTATATGTTTTCTAACATTTCAACTTCAATGCGAATGAACAACATTTAGAGTTGGATTGTGTTTTTCGTTTTTTTTTTTCGTTTGTAAAGCTGAACTCTAAAAGACAGACGAAAAATACAAATGGGACATTAAAACTCATACGTCGAACATAAACTGACAACGCCATAGCCAAAAAGGAAAAAGACCAACAGATAAAAAATATTACACAAAACAAAACATAGAAAACTAAAGACCGAGCAACACGAACCCTACCAAAAGCTGAAGAATGCCAGGGACTATTCATAGCTGAACATATATAATACCAAATTGTAAACATAAATAAATACTCGCTTTAACCAGTATATAATACATTGTAAAAATTAACAATGTGGCGTATGGTCTCCAACAGTGGTATATTTTTGAATATTATTACGTGTATCTTATAAAATCAAATGAAAAGAGTTTCTGCGTTTTAAGGGTACTACTACATTGAGAGGGCACATTTTAGTCAATCAAGATTATAACACAACTACATACGTATTAGGAGAGTAAGAATAGGCTTGTTTTAAATAAAGACTTCTGAAAAAAGGAGTCATAAGCATTCGACGTTACAATTTTAACTTATTGTGATATACATGTTTGGAGGGTTACACGAATCTACAACAGAAATTTTCAGTTTTTGCAGTTCTTTCCCTTTACAAATTGCAAGTGGTGTGTGCAATTATATTTTCGATAGTTATATTACCACAACTCCAGATTCATGCGTTTGATGACATTTTTTCAAGTTTTTCATCAACATAAATATTTTGACAAAAAAATTAGTTTTTCATTTTGTCCTGGTAGTTTAGTTTTCATAAGGCAAAACACAATTATTGTTTAAAATTAACCGAATTTCGTTGTCGATATTGACACAATTTTTAGGTTTGTATTGATTTCTAAATCTTTGGTGGAAAGGATACCTACACATGTTATTATAGAAACAAGTGCTTTTCGCATGCACGGAGTTCATGTAATGAGTCATTAGTAAAGAATTGTGTCAATTATAACCAAATATCTGTGTTATTCTAGTTGCCTGGCTTGTCTATCTTTCAAAGGACAAAACAAAACTTGAATTTCCTTGTCAAGCTTGACATACTTTTCATAGTCCTCTTGGTATGATTTGATCTTTGAACGTTTTGTGTCAAGTTAACCTAAACATATTTTTCTTAAAAGAAGTGGTTGGCGTATACAAGGAGTCTATATAATGTATGTTATATGTCAATACTAAAAATCACTGTCAAGTATTTTTAAATATGTCACGAACAATGTACATCCTCGTTAAACTTGGGTCTTTTAAAAAGTTTTTTCACTAAAGATTACAAATTATCCCTTTATGACTAATTTACTAATAGTTTACAAAACAAAGATAATCACAACAGAATATAACAAAACATGTAGATCACAGTATGGAACAGATTTGTCAAATGACATAATGATAAAAGCCACCATTTGTGTAGAAAGACAATCAGTTATAATCTACAGGCTCAGTACTTTAATCTTGTTTTTCAGTTGCTGTCAGCATTCTTTCTATGGTTTGTGTGTACTAAAACGGAGAATTCATCGCCCAGACAATTCCGAAACTTGTTTTAAAGTAGTCTTATGTTATATACCACAACTTTGCTATTAGCGCAGTCACATGTGATTTTTGATATACAGTAACAGGTCGTATATCATCTTGATTATAATATTGACAATGCGTTTCCTTAGAGTTTTGTTTATGACGTTAATAAAGAATATAGGTCGGCGGATTTTCTACTGCGTTTGCTCTCTAATTCCAAGTTGATATGTTTAACCCAAAACATTTTATTTGGAACAATTGTAAGAACAGTGTAAATAGCATTTCCGTAAATTGTCTCGCATTATATTTAATATGTTAAATCCACTACGTTTGTTCTTCAATTAAGTGATTGTTTGTGTGTGTACTTTAGGATAAAAAGTTGGTTATCTTGTCTAACTGATTATAGGGTCTTATTAAAGTTAAAACTGTAACTCTGAAAAAATTACAAATTACACAGTTTTAATATATAACACGATATTTACGCGTTGACTCGTCATAGAATGCCATTTGACCTTCGGGCTCGTTGTATCTTTGTTTAACGAACCAATGATTATCCATTGTATCTCCTTTATGGGTTTAATTGAAACTGGCATACACTACCACTATAACTATAATTCATGATTCGGGGCTTAAAACGTAAATTTGTACATTTTGACATTGATCCTTACTAATTCAGTAATAAAGTATCATAACAACATCACATAAAGCCAATCGTATTGCAACAGATGCGTTTTAATGAGTTTTAAGTTTAGGGTTTACCAAAACACATGCGATTAATATGATAATTAAAATTTGTAAGCAATTAATGTCATGACCAATCTTGCATAATTAATCATATGATAAATATGTATTGAAAATACTGTTTCCATGTGTTCGCTATAGCTACTCACAAACGGTGTTTCGGGTCATGATTTTACAGCGACATACAATATTGATAAATGATGCCGACTAAGAAGGGAATAATTATAGAAACTTGAAGCCAACAATGTGGTTGAGGTAAGACGTAAGTACTACGCGAAAGTCCTTAAGGAAGATATTATACATTCAACTACATTCAAGGTCGTACGCTCCACAGAGAGTTTGACTGTATCTGTAGAAAACGTATTTCTAACGGAATAGAACAACTTTTTTGGAAGATGATGTTGTTTATAGAGCCCGGAAATTTAGATACGATCGGATAAACGTATCAATCCTTTAAATTAACGTATTGTAAAAAGTTACAAATTCAACAATGTAATTAGATCTTTTATAATGTATCAATCAAAATATTGTTTGTATTGGTATACATATTGCTAAATTAACCCATTAAAATAGTTATACACATATGCTCATTCACGTTACTACAATATGTCGATACCTATATTTTAGTACTGAACAAGGTAATGTTTTTCTCTTAATGTTTAAGACGACTTTTCATTGAATTCATTGGATGTTAGATGTGCATTTTTACAGTTTGTTGTCATGTTGTACCGTTTAACCACTGTCCCAGGTTCAGGGATGGTTGGCGCCTTCAAACATGTTTAACCCCGCTACATTCTTCATGTGTTTATCCTACGACAGGAGCTTGTAGTTCAGTGATTGTCGTTGGTTTATGTCTGTCATAATAATTTTTCAAATGAATTGTTTCATATTTTAATGTCGGTGCCTTTTATATCCGACTTTACGGTATTGGTTTATCTCTTTGTTGAAAGCGGTACGATTGCCAATACTTGCTTACATTCAATTTGTTTGAATGTTGTGGATAGTTTTCAATGGGAATCATAACTAATCTCATTCTTTTTATATAAAAATCTACATATTCTTTTGAATGAATAATAATAATGATATTGATAATAAATTAC